TTAACCATTTACCCAACAGATACTGAGGTCATTTTAAGCGGTTTAGCTCTTGTGCTTCACGCCGCTGTGCCATTTTTAGCTGTGGCTTATTTCCTCTTTTGTAATGACTTCCTCGGGATGACTTCCAGGGGCAGAACACCAAGTCCAAGGCTAAGATGCTATTGCTGCTCTCATTGTGTGTTGCTACCTTGCTTCCCCAAATGACAGCCTCTGAGACATGAATGTCCCTCTAAATCAATAGTCCGATGGCAGCACCCCCAAACTCCACTTCCTCCAGAGGACAACACGTCAGAATTATTAAGCATGTCTACTTTGCTGAGAGTTCAATGCCTCAGGAATAAAAAATACATCCCTTCCCCCACTACCTGTGCTTCGCAGCCCCCTTCTGACTTCGGCCCAAAGAGGCAGCCACCCATGTTCTGGGGCAGGGTTGGTTTCCACCCTAAGCATGAAGCCCAAGAATCCCAGCCACAGGAAGGCTGGCGCGGGGTGGGCCTATTACTGCGGCTGCCTCCCTGCAACTCTGACACAGACCCATGCTGGTAACAAACTCTGCTGGAAGCCTTCATCCTTTGTGGCCCCAGCTCCTGCTGCCTCCTTCCTGGCCAACCAACTGGAAATCTTTCTCATTGTTGCCTGCGAACTTGCAACTTCTGGCCGGCCTGCCTGCCTGGGCTCAAAACCCAACGCACTTCATTGCTGGGAATGATCTGTGTCATCTTCTCTTTGCAGGGTCGTTAGGGGCTAAAGGTGCATTCCTCTCTCCCGCAGATGACCTTCCTGCATGGGGCTTCTGGGGGCTGGTGACACATTCCCCACAGCACAAGGCCCCCCTGCCATCCCTGGGGCCCCAGACCGTGCTGTCACCAAACTGGGTGTAGTGGGTGTGCTGAGTGTCTTCCATCTGTCCCTCCAATCCTTTCCCATCCTATCCTCCCCATTTTCCCCAGAAGGCCACCTGTCTAGGCTACCACTGCAGACTTCCTGCCCTCCCTTCTGGCTGGGGTCACCCAGTGGGAATCCCAGCAGGCGATCAGAGGGAGAGAGGGGGGCGGGTCCTCCCAGTCTTGATTCCTCCCTCCGTCCCGCCTGGCTGGCCCTGGAAGGTCAGAGCCCCAACCCAGCAGTCTTTGCTGGGCTCTGTTAAGTATGCCCTCCATTTGCCTTACGACAATTCACCCACTGAAAGCTTACAATTCAGCGTTTTTTAGTTTAATCAGAGTGGTATAAACATCACCACAGTAGAAGTTTAAAAATTTTCATCACTCCCAAAAGAAACCCCAAACCCATTAGCAATAATTCTCCATCTCCCCAAATATTCCAGCCCATGGCAGCCACCAATCTGCTTTCCTTCTAAGGATTTGCCTACTCTGAACATTTCGTATAAATGAAATAACATAGTATGTGCTCTTTTGTGTCTGGCTTCTTTCACTTGATGTATGTTTTCAACATTCATCAATACCGTGGCATGTATCAGTACTTCGTCTCTTGTTACGGCTGACTAATATTCCGTCGCATGGCTACACCGCATTGTGTTTACTCATTTGTCAGGTGACAGACATTGTAGCTGTTTCCACTTTTTGGTGAGAAGTGGTACCACAGTGTGGTTTTGATTTGAATTTACCTGATGACTAAAGATGTCGAGCATCTTTTCACGTATTTATTGGACATCTGTATGTCTTCCTTGGAGAGATGTCTGATCACATCCTTAGTCCACTTTTAAATTAGGTTATTTGCCTTTCTCTTTTTAAGAGTTATTAATATATGCTAAATACAAGTTTCTTATCTGGTATATGATTTGCAAAAATATTCTCCCATTTTTTGGTTGTCTTTTCACTTTTTTGATGGTATCTTTTGAGAACAAAAGTTTTTAATGTTGATGATGTCCAATTTACCAATTTTTTTTCTTTTGTTCTTTCTGCTCCTGGTGTCATATCTAAAGAATCAGTGCCTGATCCCTAGCCATGAAAATGTACCCTATGTTTTCTTCCTAAAACTGCTATAGTTTTAGCTCTCGCAGTTACGTCTTTGATGTGTTTTGAATTAATTTTTGCATATGCTGTGAGGTGGGGGTGCAACTTCATTCTCTGCATATAGAAATCCAGTTGTCCCTCCACCCTGTGTGGAAAACACTATCATCTCCCCCATTGAACGGTCTCGGTACCCCGGTTGAAAATCAATTAACTGTCAATGCAAGGGCTTACTTCTGGACTCAATTCTATTCTATTTTTATTACCCACTCACCTATATATCTATCTTGTGTTGATTACTGTAGCTTTATAGTAAGTTTTGATATCAGAAAGTACAAGTCCTCTTAGTTCTTTGTTTTCAAGGTTGTTTTTGTTATTCTGTACTCCTTAAATTTTTATACAAAGTTTAGGACAAGCTTGTCAATCTTAGTACTGCAGTTGTATTATAAAGTCTTCCAGTCCATGCACAAGGGATGTCCTGCATTCATCTAGGTCTCCTTTAACTTCTTTCAACAATGTTGTGTAGTTCTCAGAGTATAATTTTTGCACTTTTTTGTTGTATTTATTTCTAAGTATTTTATTATTTTTGACACTATTATAAGTGGAGTTGTTTTCTTAATTTCATACTAGGTTTGTTCATTGTTACTGTACAGGAAAAAAAGCCCTGAAGGGTCACATTTTCCAAAGGTTTTCAGAACCTGAACTTGCTTCGAACACAAAAAGAAGGCAAGGATGTCTTAAGAAACATGAAGGAACCCTATCATATTTTTTCTTACTCATATAACTTCTTTATATTAGCCACCTTATTCTGCTGACAATAATGAAATAGAAGAGAAAGAAAGGCCAATCCATAGTTCTTTTTCCATTCAGTCTTTCCTTACTCATCAGTAAGCCCAAGATCAAGAGTGAGGGTAGAACATGTGTGTATAAAGAAATGCAATGAAAATCGTCAAGTTCATTTTGTGCAGCATTTCCATGGTTCTGACAAAAACAAAATACATTTGCATGTATAAGCTATGAAATACAGATGGTGTAATTTCTGTGATTTTCTATATGAGTTAAATGCATTTATATTTGTATTCAAAACTGGCATTGCACAAATAAAGATGGATGGTAAAATTCATGCTAATAGTTTAAAATTTTAATTTTTCTTTACTTAGAATGATAGTAATAGCAAATTTAAAAAAAAACACCATACAAAGTTAAGAGATGTGAACTAAAATAAAATCCTAAGCCCTCCAGCAGACTGAACGGACCCTCTCTTGACCAAGGGGACCCCAGAGAAAACTTAAAACTGAGTTGCTGGCCATGAGGAGAAGGGAGGTTGGACATGTTTCATTTACCCCTTCCCTTTTGGAGTTACTCTTTGTAACAATAAGATACTAAATAATTAACAGGACCTAAGGCCATGCAAGACAATGGTTAAACCACACCTTGCAGGCCATCAATTTACTTAGGTATACGTTCAGTAGCTTGTCTCTAATTAACAGGCTTCCTTATCTTAACTTAAAACATTCCAAACCTTTAGACAAAGCTTCATTTCTTTAACCAATTACAAATCAAAAAATATTTAAACCTACCTATAACCTGTAAGCCTCCCCCACAAGACGTCCTGCCTTGTTGGGCCAGACCAATGTACACCTTGCATGTATTGATTTATGGTTTTATGTGTAATCCCTGTCTCCACGAACATATAAAACCAAACTGTGACCCAACCACCTTCAGCACATTTTCGTAGGACCTCTTGAGGCCATGTGCTCTGGGCCACGGTCACACATATTCAGCTCAGTATAAACCTCTTTAAATTATTTACAGAGTTTGGAGTTTTTTTTGTTAACAGAGATAAACTGAAAGGAAAGGCAAAAGCTTTATATTTTATTACCTTTAATGACACTTTACCCCTGACTTTTGAACAAGGGGCCCTGAATTTTAAATTTTCTCTGGGCCCCACAAATTACGTAGCCACACATACAGCAGGAAACAAATCAAAGCCTCTTCCCTGGGGGTCTAGGGAGGGGCAGCAAAAATAAATATGTAAATAAATAATATACAATATAACGCTTGCTATTAATAACAATTAGTACTGTGCAGAAAACCAAAAAGGCCAGGATGCCTAGGGCAAGTTGGCTAGAGCACACACACACACACACACACACACACACACACACACACACGAACAAGAAAGATGTGACCATTATAATTTTGTTCTTACCTCATTGACAACACCCTTCTTAGTCTAGAAATGTTGTTATCAAGTAAGCTTGCCACGTTTTCCTTACCAAGACAGATAAAAGTTACATTGTGCAGCTATTAAAGTTAAGATTTTTCTTAGATCTGGGAATTAAATGGTATAACCTTTGAGTGATGGGAAGGACTTTGGCCTTTAGGAGTCTGAGCAGAAGAGCTACAAGGTCTGCTTTATGTTTCAGAAAAAAATCCCTGTGGCTGCTGTGCGGAGAGCAGCCTGGAAGGAGGCAGGAGACCACTGAGCGTCAGGCAGGGTCCTGTCCTGGCGGGAGGAGCTTTAGAGACCAGTCCAGGGTGGCCAGACAGGCCAGCGCTGCCACCTCCCAGGCGGGGAGGACTGCCCAAGAGGCAGGTTTGAAGGGCGAATCAAATGTTCGATTTTGAGCCTTTAAGTTTCTTTCCTCCTGTAGGCAGTTGAACACTCAAATTGGTAACTTGGGAACGTTTCATGAGCACCTACTATGTGCTGGGCATTGTGCGGACAAGCCGCGGCCGACTTTGTTGTATTCCACAGCAACTTTTATTATTTAAAAATGTATTATATAGATATAAGTTTTCTGCGCACTGGGTGTCTTCATGAAGCGCTCTCAAAGAGGCAACAAACCCCTCCTTTTCACGCGCTCCCAACGCGGCTTCCGGCCAGGTCCTCCAGAGCACCGAGAGGGGCGGCCAGAGCGGCGGTGCGTCCCTTCCCAGTCGCAGCGAGGTCTGACGACGCCCCGGAAGTGACGGCGCATTCGCGTATGGGCGCTTGGCAGCGACGGCGGCTTTAAACGTCATCGCGGGCGCGACGCCCCGAGGGACAGTCTGGAGTCCGGCTGTCGTTAAGGTGCGGTGGCGAGACCGGCTGGGAAGATGCCAGTGGCGGTGATGGCGGAAAGTGCCTTCAGTTTCAAAAAGTTGCTGGATCAGTGCGAGAACCAGGAGCTCGAGGTAGCCATTTGCGTCACGGTGGGAGAAACCGCGGGGTCGCCCCTGGTCCCGGGGCGGCACCGGTTTCCAGGGTAACGGGGCTTGAGGCCCGCGGGGCTTTGGCGCGCGCGGAGTGGGCGCGGGAGGTGGACGTGTGTCGCCTGCTCTGACAGCGAGGGATCCTGGACCGGTTTTCCCGAACTCGCTAGGAGCTTTCATTTGTCTTCAGCTTGGGAGCCCGAAAACCCTAGGTATCTCTGCTCTGACACCCACTGATCCGCTAGGCTAGACATCTTTCCTTCCTGTGGTCGGGGTGAAAGGGGACAGTGATGTGGTTTTGTTAAAGACCTTTGTGTCTTTAATAAAAGACACGTCCATACACACAGAGAACAAGAAAGACGTGACCGTTGTAACCTTTTCTTAACTCACAACGCCCTTCGTAGTCTCGTAATGCTATCGAGTAAGCTTGCCATTTTTTCTTTAATAAGACAGATAAAAGTTATATAGCAGCTATGAAAAGTAAGATTTTTCTTAGAAAGGCACTTAAAAAGCCTCTGTGACATTGCTATAAAAATTAACTGAAGGAGACAACAGCCAGAAGAAGCTCACAGGTAGACACTTAATGGATGTTTTCCAACTGAGTCAAAACTGAATGAGGAGAGAAATATCTCTGTGTATCAGCTGTGGTGATTTTCTCTCCCTTGCTCTTTTACCTTGGTACCCAGTGTGCTTGATGCAGTCAGCAGAATCAGACTACTTTAGGAATCTGTTGGAAATATTTGTTTCTTATAATAGTAAGATCATTTAAATGAGGATTTGAGAACTGGAAAAGGGAATCCACTGAAATGTTCTTGTGTATGTAAAGAAACTGAGGCCCCAACGGAGATAAATCACGGCTGATGACAGATCTAAACTTGGTACTCTAGATTTTAGCGTTTGATGCTTCTTTAAGCTGTTCCTCCATCTGTAATAGGACTGTAAGATAGCCTTACTTTTTTGATTAGCATTAATAAAATACTCTTTTTTAATGAAAGTATAAATGAGTTTTGTTTTTGTCGCCCCCCCTCCCCCCGTATTTGGCCTTCTAGGCTCCTGGAGGAATTGCTACACCCCCAGTGTACGGTCAGCTTCTAGCTTTATATTTGCTCCATAATGACATGTAAGTACCTTTAACCTAAAGCCAAGAGCGACAGGTTCCTCAGGGTTATACCGAAATTATTCTGCCTTGAAGTAGCAACACGGAAACACAGGCACAATGAGCTACTTCTTTTATTATAATACTTACTACATCTATTTCATATTGAATCTTAGTTTAATGAATTATGACTTGTTTTACATACTCCTTCTAGAAAACATTTAAATTTATTGTGAGAAACTGCAATGTCAGTAAATTCCTTTACTTCCGTTGACCTTTCTCTTTTTTGTCTTTTAAACTTTCTTGTGACCTCTCTTTACCTAACATCATAATGTAATCAGTAGAACAAATGAAGCTGAAAGGGAAGATTGAGAGCCAAGAGGAATTCGTTACTAATGTGTGTGAGATTTCTTGAAAGATTTTTGTTTTTCAGTTTTTCCTAATTCATGTTCATTAGGAAAAGTCAGAAAGCATTACTATGCAAAAGAAGAGGGGTCTCCTGTAGTTCCATGACCCATCAGTGATTCCTGATAAAATTCTGTTTTGCATTCTTCCAAACCCTTTCTTTGCATATCTTTTTAAAAACTAAACTGAGATTTTTATTACGTATATATGAATTATGTTTCATTTTTTGTAATCCCATCATCATATGTTTGTTCAAGCTTCAAAACCTTTAAAAACTCCTGCCTTGAAGTTTTGGAGGCTCTGTACTCGCTGGTATGAGGGGTATAGCAAGAAAAGCATTGTGTGCCACACTTACCATCAGGGAATGCTAGAGCCTTGAAAGTACATAAATTAGATTATTTTTATATCTGAAGAAATTGGGCAGCTGTATGTAAGTTTTTGTGTTTTTAGTGTGTTGCTTTAATTTAGGATTTGGATCATCAATTTAAAGAAATTCACTAGAAATGGCAAAATGTTACTTTGATAAAAATATCTGGTAGTTCATGTCTTTTTATCTTATTTCCTCAGAACAAATTATTATAAAACTAAATTTTATTCTGTGTCATGTATTTTAAAGTATACTTCTGTTTGTTTGCCTTGGGACCTAGTAATTTTAAACATTTACTGAGATGATTATGTTTTTAATTATTT